CCTTCCTTCAATTATTTGGTTTGCCAGTACCATTTGCTGAAAAGCAGCCCCACGCCATGATGTTCCCACCTCCAAACTTCACTGTTGGTATGGTGTTTTTGGGCTGATGTGCAGTGCCATTTGACCTCCAAACATGATGTGTATTCTGGCATCCAAACAGTTCAATGTTGGTCTCATCTGACCAGACTATATTCTCCCAGTATTACACAGGCTTGTTTAAATGTTGTGCAGCAAACTTTAAAGGAGCTTCAACATGCTGTTTCTTCAGCAGTGGAGTCTTGCGTAGTGAGCGTGCATACAGGCCATGGTGGTTCAGTGCATTACTTATTGTTTTCTTTGAAACAAACGTACCTGCTAATTCCAGGTCTTTCTGAAGCTCTCCACAAGTGGTCCTTGGCTCTTGGACAACTCTTCTGATAATTCTTTTCACTCCTCTGTCAGAAATCTTGTGAGGAGCACCTGGTCGTGGTCGGTTTATGGTGAAATGATGTTCTTTCCACTTCTGAATTATGGCCCCAACAGTGCTCACTGGAACCTTCAGAAGTTTAGACATTCATCTGTAACCGATGCCATCATTATGCTTTGCAACAATAAGGTTGTGAAGGTCTTGAGAGAGCTCTTTACTTTTACCCATCATCAGATGGTTCTTGTGTGATACCTGGCCATCATTTGGGACTGAACCAYCTGATATTAACTTGCACTGACAAGGGGCAGGCTTGCTTTCTAATTACTGAGAGAGTTCAGCTGGTGTCTTGGCTTTCCATGCCTTTTTACACCTCCCTTTCTTCATGTGTTCAATACTTTTTCCCTGTGCCATTCCACATTATTACAAATAACTTCATTTCTGGACATTTATTGTTTGATTTCTTTGTCACTTGGGTTGTTACCAACATCTGGTGAAAATTTCATGTCATTAGCACCTCTAGTAATATATTTACTGTGTTCAATACTTATTTTACCCGCTTTAACATAGTGAGAGTGACTGGTTCCATATGTGCTCACAGCATGTGGATAATTAGTTTAATATCAAGGTTGGGAAGCTTCATAGCAAATCAAATGATACTAAAGCAAGTAGTTAAAGATTCAAAGCTAACTGCTGCTTTTACATTTGGACTTTGAAGGAATCACAAGGCTGCCAACATATTTTTTTCCTTAAATGCTGTGATTATTATTCTTTATTTTGAATATGCACAAAATGTCTATCTTCCCATTTATTACATAACACACATCTCCAAAGCAAATGAAAGAAAGAAAAAATAAAATAAGGAAGAAAAAATAAAATAAGGAAGCTCACATTTGTAGATACTGTACAACCAAAAAGGCAAATAGATTAGTTGGCATAATCAACAAGGAGTGAGTAGAGGCATAGCTTATTATACCTCACCCCTTTGTTCCTCTAAATATACATAGCCATATGAACCCATACACATATATACACACATTTAGATTTTGTGCTTCCCATTGTTTTCAATTTACAGCAGGGGTGTCAAACTCCTGTCCTCGAGGGCCGCTATCCTGCATGTTTTAGAGGTTTTCTTGCTCCAACACACCTGATTTTGATCGCTGGGTGATTAACAGGCTTCTGCCCAATTTGAAGAGTTAATTCAATCACTGAATCAGGTGTGTTGGAGCTGGAAAACCTCTAAAACATGCAGGATAGCGGCCCTCGAGGACTGGAGTTTGACACCCCTGATTTACAGTATAGCCATCTCCAATTATCATTACAATTTCAGTTTGCAATGAACAATCTTAACATACTTCTCCAACAACACATTTTTTTACATTTTCTTAAATTGCCTGATATTTGGACATTGTCTGAGATCCCCACTTAATTTATTCCATAGTCTAACCCCAGAAATAGATATACAAAACCCTTTTCACCTGCACATAGGAACAAACTGGACCACTGCTGTGTTTCTTGACTTAATCATCAGACAGTTTGGTTGATCTACGAATAAACACTTGTATAAATACTTTAATCACAATTTAACCTCTATGGATTTTTCCTTTGTTCTCTAATGTGGTTTATTTTAGCCATTTATAGCCGAACATATTTTTTTCTAAACTCGTTTTTAATGCAAAAGAATAATTGCTTGAAAGTATTAATGGTTTTATTGGCTGTTTTCCATTTGAGATGTTTACTTGATACCTGATCATTTCACATATAATAAAAGCACTCACTTGTTTACTTTCCCTGGAAAAGATTATATCTCAAAATAGGAGTTCACACTTTAGATATCTGCCTAGGTTATTTAAAGATATCCATTTCTTCCTGCCCTTTTTTTTAAATGGAGTACGAAAAGAGGCAGGAAAAAAGCCCAAAGAGTAAAATGTAAAAGGGTCTTGATGCTTTATGCACTGGCAGCTTGGCACACCTGCGAGAATAACGTCAGGAAAGAGCGAAGTCAAATTAACACCAGTCAAGTGCTCATATGATGGCCCGCGCTGGTAAGGTGGTTTATTTTGGCTGCAGTTTTAACAGTCACTGGTTTTATGTTTCTGAACCTTTCAGACGGGCGCACTCAAGGATGAAAAAGTAATTTTCCAGCAATGGTCCGACTTTCTCGGTTGGTTTTCCTTCATTTTAATTTCACTTAATTCAGAAATGGGAAAGGAATACAGAAAACGACAGATAAATACGAGTAAATCCCTTATAGTGTAATATACTCTTGTTTTTAAAATTTGAACTCTGCTTGTTTGAAGAGAAACTCTTGTCCTACATGTTGTAGTTCATAAAAAACATCTACAGGCAAAAGTGGAATTTGTGAAATTAAGATTTGGTTGTTATTTAGCTTTGTACACTTCAGTTTTATCTCACCTGTGAATGCATGCCATGGATTAGTTGAATTCGGACCAATGGTGATGCATGTGAGTGGAAGATAGAGTAAGCTTCTAAAAGCTTTGAAAAGACGGAGAGAGGGATTGTGTTAGTGTGTGGCAATGCAAGACTTTTAAAAGAAAAATTATGCCCAGGCCTTAAATCTTTTTTTATTATTATTATTTTCAGAAGAAATACATAATTAGGTCGATAAAAGTGGTAAAGTTATTACATTCTGTTCATTTTACAGTTGCACTGTTTCCACACAGCACAATCAGATAAAAGCCAAAGTGGATGCTTTGAACCTTTTTGCCTTTTTCTGTCATATTAAAAGCTTTTACGCCTTCACACTGTTTCTACTGAACACCACGTCTGTGCACATTACAGACATACAACGTCTTACTTGTTTTGTAGTGCAAAAACTTCATCTGTAAAGTGAGATTAACATATTGAGTTCACAAAATATATACTTAACGTCTGACTGGAGTAATTGCATTACAGAGAAGTGATGATAAAGTTAATATTTAAGTGTCACATTGTTTGTGGTAGTTAATTAACCTTCCTCTGTCTGCATTTGAAACCCATGTTTCAAGGATAATTAGAGAGCTACTGAAGATAAATACTAAATAAATACTCAAACATTTAGAAACAGAATTGGACGTGTTGCTGCACCTTTTATAAAGCAAGAGATTCTCCAGGGACACAAGCCTGTAGTCAGCTAACTAGTTCTCTAGATTTTCTTTGTTACATAACAACTAAGTAATGAGGGATTGAACATTTCGCTCCTAGAGTGTCGTTTATTTTTTACTGGGGTCTTGGGATAATTCTGTTTTTAATTTCTGTTTACTAAAATGTTGGCACAAGTTTCCAAATAAGAACTGTCATGGTTTGCAGCCCATCTTGTCCGCGACCCACGTAGGCCGCCCGTTTGGGCTGCATAAACTGCTGCGAAATGGGACTGTCTAGTCTACAGATGATGTATGTTTGCGTGACTACGAGTTGCTCCATTTAACATGGTGTTACGCTTCATGCCTTCAGTTGTCTTTTCATGGTGTAACTTTTCAAAATTCAGCTTTATTTAAAGGGATCCCCGATTAGTTGTAACATTAGACTTTATTTACTAAACATATATTTTAACTGTAAAATAAAGACAGTAAAAATACTGTAGGATGTTCAGTTTTTATCATTTTTAAACTAAGTTTTAAAATAAATTACACTGAAGGACCATTTTATTTACACACTAAGCATTCTGGGTAAGTTAGTTTAGCTTGTTTGTTGCACTAGCACCGAGCTATTACATATAAGGCAATATAGRGTCYGTGCTAGCYCYAAGGCTAACAGGCTAAGCTGAGGTTCTTCTTCCATGAAGCAGCTCTGTTGTCCTCCATCCATATTTTCAGTTCCAGGCTGAGTCATTTCTACCTTCTCCTCTCTGTCAACGCTCTCTGGTTTCATTTAAAAGAGTCGATCATCAGATATTGTCCAAGATTAACCTTCAGGGTGGATATAGCTCACTAGCAGCCTCGCACCGAGGACCTATCCACGTCATCATTTACCCAGAATGCTTTGTGTGTAAATAAAATGGCTCCGTCCGTGTTAAAATATATTTTTAAAAATGTACAAAACTTCACATCCTACAGTATTTTTACAGTCTTTATTTTACAGTTAAAATATTTGTTTATCAAATAAAGTCTAATGTTACAACTAATCAGGGATCCCTTTAATAAAGGTTACCCGTAATTTAATAAAAAATGCAGTATCTATATTTGTAGTTGCAGTTTATTCTCACTGCAGCATAAATTTAATCAGCTAAGTTGCTAAACATACATTTAAAATCTAATTAAAAACTGCGCTGTAAAAAGAAAATTCAGCCCTCTTTTATTTTCCTGTTTAATTTGCTGACAGCGCAATGAATCTTGCGATATCATTGGCTGCGTAGGATACTCAAAACGTATAAAAAAATACATGCCTTCAGGCCCAGACTCCACTGAAAAAGAGATCTTCCATCTCAATGGAATTTGCCTTGAATTGAGACACAGCCTTGGTTTAGGGCTTGTTCTGTAACCAGCCTTTGTTTTTGTTTCTATACCTGACACTTTCCCAGCTTTATACCATTCTGGACAACATAGAAATCTTATTGTTTTATTTTTACAACTTTCTAACAGTACCTCATTCTTCGCAGGTACATGACACTGATCAACGGTAAAAAAGAGGTATACATGATTGACAGGGACAACTCCGTCTTCCACATAGACAACCTAGAGTTTCCTTTCCGGAAGGATCCACGAGTTCATTTATCAAACACGCTACTTGATGGGGTGAGTCTTTTTTTGTTGTTGTTGTTTATATACTTGTATTTCCATATGTTAAGCTGTTATATATTCTATGGAAATGCAAAAAGTTGAACGGTTTCTGTCGTGACTGTGGTTTCATGTTCTCTCCATTTTCTACTTTGTGTCACTTTCTTACTGCTCCTGCTACTCAGTCTTGCAGAAAATTGACGACAGTTGCCAAACCTTAGGTGAAACGCCAGCTTGTTTTACTTTGAAGAAAAAGTCTGCAAAAAAATAAATCAGCTGACGGGAACATGATCACCCATGTACTGGAGAGATATCTAACTAATTGTTATTGTGTGTTTTGCTGTAAGGCTTTGAGGCGCTCAGTGACATAGTTGTACTGTAATAGAAGGGTGTTTGTGCTGTGTAGGTCGCACTGGTCCCTGCTTCCCTCCACAGCAGGTGCACAGGTATGAGTCATTTCACACTACTGCTCAGGGAAAACAGAGAAGGAAATTGCTGCTGCTTGATTTCATGTAGTCAGAAGTTTGATTGCAGCTGTCTGTCGGTGTTCCTGTACTGAAGATTAGAGATAAGTTCCTGTTATTCTTATTGTTTTCCCTCAGAGTTTAGTCATTTTATGCAAAACAGGAGCACGTTCCCTGGTGGCTGAACTGTTTTCACACTCACAGGCGTTTAGTTGCAGTGTATTACCATTCATTTAAAGATGTGTTTAGTTTGCCCTAAGTTCAGTTTTGGTTTGTAATTATTCATCCATTGATGCTTCTGGCTCTCGGTTCATAGAGGCTGATGATAAGCCTTGAAGAAACACAGCTTTTTTCCTTTGTTGGCCAGAGACAGCGGTCTTTGTTTGTACACGCTGTTAGTTGGTTTTAATGAGCTTTATGTTAACTTTAGTTCCAGTTTTGATTTACAGCTCTGTGTAGACTGAAATTCTTGTGGTTTTCTTTTTGTTACATTGTAAATTCATCTTTCTGCTGTCAGTCGTTTCAACGGTTCATTGCACCAGATGCACAGAGATGGCAGCTTTCTGGAATTGCATCATTTCTCCAACCCCACCACCTCTCTTTTCGTGCCTCCCAGTCATTACATTTCTCCCTCTCTACCAGTCTGGCTTTGGCAATTTATCTTAGGTATTTGCTCCTTTTCTCCTCTGATACTGTATGTAAAGTAAAATCATGCATCACCCCACACTGATGCAAATGAGAATTTCTGTTCCCGATGTTACTTCATAAAACTGTGCCAGCAGTCATTAGGATGCATGTGGAGAACTGGACTCTTGAAAAAAGTTGAACTTGAAAAAATTCCCATTGAAGAATTTGTAAAAGTGTCTCAATGTGTTGGAGGTTGTTTACAAAGTTTAAACTTTTAGTCCATATGAATTGGAGCATAATCAAAGATATAAAATCAAATAGAAAAAAATAGAATTTTGTCATATATTCTTTTCAGTGTCATTTCTTCTTATTTAAAATGTTTATTAAACAGACCAAGGTTACTTTTGTTGGGTTTAGGGGCCACGTGGAGTTCCTGCAAGACTTTCAGAGAAATTGCAAATGTATTATTATGAATTAATGTATTTTTATAGCAGTGATTGATCATCTATCACCCTGGTGTACCCTGCGAGAGGTAGGGTACACTCTGGGACTCCTTATAATAGCTCCACTAAAGTTTTCTCTTCAGTCAGCATGTTAAAAAAAATCTCTCGTTACTTCGCAGCGTTTTCCCCATTATTTTGTGTTCTGCCCCCAAAACTTGACAGATGAGGTACTGAGGTGGTGTATTAATGTGTTCTTCTGTCAGGTGCTCCTTGGTTTCTAGAAATGCTCAGATTTGTTCTTTTAAATTACTTAGGAGTAGGGTATTAGAGACATTAAAGGTTTGGTTGAAAAGTTTCTGTAATTATCAGTGTAATTATTTCCATTTCTACTCTTTTGTTTTCCACTTTTATAATGTAACTTTTTCAATTAAATGTGACATTTAGTTGGGTTACAAACTGGTAGGTTTGAAAATAGGAATCAAAAACAAAGTCTACCGTGTAGGATTTTTGAAGAAAAACAAAAGCTCCCTCCTATAACAGCACAGTTTTTTTGTAATTTAGAAAGGCCCTATCGAGTGATTTAAGCATTACTTTCAGATAAAACAGGAGACACTGTCTGTGTGAATTTTTTATGAGTATAGTTCTCTAAACTTAGTGTTTAACTCTTTCATTCTGACCTGCAGTCCTGCTGTCACATCAGTTTAACAGCAACACTGCTTTCGTTTTATCAGACTTTTCTTCGCCACTCATTGTGTAACACTTTTTAATCATGTGTGCGTATGCATGTGTGTGTGTCCTGCAGCACAGTCGCACCTGACCTCAGCTTGAGAGCTTCTGCATAATAGATGCAGTTCTATTTATGCTCCTTCTTCACCAGACTCTACCTCCCAGACACACCTGTACATAGACTCGCATGCATGCACACACATGCACATGCACACACCGTGCACCTCACCAGGTCTTTTATCCTTTGCTTTGCTACAGGCTCCACCGTTTCTAATCACGTCCTGTGGGGGGTGCTCAGACTCCAGTGTCCCGTCCTGCAGAACTAGAATACAGTCCAGAGATTTTTTTGTCTATAATTATTAGGGATGCACAGTAACTTATTTTAAGAGCCGATATCGATAACCGATAACTTTCTCCTTCTAACGGCCGATAACTGATAATAACCGATAACATGCCAGGAGATAAGACTAGTCAAAAATGGGTGAGATCATAACACAAATAAACAAGACAAAAACCAAATGACACTGTAAATTATACTATGTGAAATAAACGTCTTAGCAAACAAAAATTTCTTAAAGTATATCAAACAAAACAATTTCTCAAATGGCCATTGTTTTTTAAATAATAAGGGACATTAATTATAAAAAGATCTTTAACACTGATCTCAGATTTAAACAAAAGAGAAAAAGTCATTCCACAAGTTCAAAACAGATAAGTCACTAACACAAGTTAGATTCAAAGTACATTTGTTTTTATTGTTATTAATATATGATTTCAAACAGTTTCTACCTGAAACAGTGCTTCTGAGAGTGTGAATGCATTACGACCGCATCATACTTACAGGAAGACACACAGAGAGCAGCAGCTCCGCTGGTAAACCATGGCTAACAATGTGATAAAAGCTTCGATCTTTAGCGAGGTGAACGGTTGTCAAGCTCCATCATTTCCATCGTTAAATTGCTTGAGATTTGCGTCCTCTCTGGCAATTTATTTGAATTTTTCCAAAGCCTCAGGAATGATTTAAGCAGCCAGTTCGGATGTTATCAGTCCATTAAATGGACGTTATTAGCAGTTATCAGTCCCATAGAATGGCTTCAGACTGTCCCGACAGTGCCCCGTAGTGGGTTACCAGTGCCGTATACGTTGGAATGCAGCAATCTGCTACCGCCGGAGTCCGGTCTACTTCATTGTAGCCCATGTCATTTTCTCTAAAATTAACCTTAGTGGCTTTATGCCTCATATTAGCCAGCTGACAGTCTGAAGCCATTCTATGAGATGGAGAACCCACTAGTCGGCACAGTTGGGACAGTCTGAAGCCATTCTATGGGACTGATAACGGCTAATAACGTCCATTTAATGGATGAAAACTTCCGAAGCGGGTGATTTAAGTCACAATGAGTTTTTGAACGCTAACTTGTTGTTGTTAACATTTTAGCAGACGTACTTTGTGCTGCGTTCAGAAGGTAATGGACATTACATGTTCTCAAATTGGGACTAGTTGTTCTGACCTTTTTATGTTTATAATTATAAAGTTTGTGTGTAACATACAGGGTTAATTGGTAAAATAATATTAATAATTATTAAAATGACTGGTTAATTTTCAGCACGGAGTATTCTAATTATTTTTCTAGTGAGAACGTTGTTTTTCCGAGGCCATTTGAACATTGCTTGGGTCGGGCAGAATGGGAAGCGGCTTGACCAAAAAGGATAAAAATAAACACGCATTCTCATCGCCACGCTGGCAAACATGTACATATATTATTGGTTCTGTTTGTTATGATATCAGACCGATAAGTATGACGTCATAATTCCCTGATATCGGCCCGATAAGTATGACGTCATAATTCCCTGATATCGGGCCGATAACTATTGTGCATCCCTAATAATTATTTGTCTTTCTACTCCATAATATACAGCATTACTATTACTATTTGGAATTGGATGTACCACTACAACCGATTAACTATGAGAGCCAACCCTATCTATGATGATTTATTAAGAGTTTTATGTTCTGACGCTGTCCTTTGTCTTTTATTTTCCTGCAGGAAATGATCATCGACAAGGTGAATGGTCAGCCCGTCCCTCGCTATTTAATATACGACATCATCAAATTCAATGTGAGTAAGCTGTGTTTTTGACTTGTCACCCCTGGAAATGTTTAAGGTCAAAGTTTACAAAATGTTAAAATCATGTAAAAAAATGATGTAGTCTGCCTGCAGTTCTCTTTTGACACATTTTAAAAAGAAGCTTGTGTTTTTGAGGTCTTGTAGTCAGCAGTCTGGAGCACATGTAATTACATCAAAGTGTTGAGCAGCATGTGAAGAAGAGATATCGATTAGAAGTGGGACTTGATCCTCGCTCAAACCCAAAGAATCAGATTCCCAGCTGGGTGCCTTTAGTGCTGTAATGGAGCAGGCAGCAGAGCAGTTCTCATCCAAGCCCACAACATAGAGCTTTCTCATTTTGTGTTATACTTTCCCAAGATGTTCTGTTTAGTACCCTGCAACAAGCTAAACAAGTAATGCAAAAGCACAGAGGTTTAATATTACGTAGCGTTCTTTAACACCATTATGTCATTTTCGAGAATTTATAGCTCTTAAAAGTGATAGTTGTTTTTTTACAGTTTGTCCTTGGCAAGTCTCTGCTGTCCTCCCTAAAATAACTGGATGAGTAACCCAGGGTAACGGAGGGTGAGATGGTCATTATGTTTGTCTGTCGCCTCCTTTTCTCAATCGATCACATAAGCAACTTGGCTCAATGAAAGCCCCATCGGTAAGAGGAATGTCTGGAAGATGGTGCAGAGGTTAGCATCTCCACACGACTCCCACTGAGCCGTCACTAAAACGCTGTTGTATTGATTCATGCTGGCCATTACTGGCCTTCTCTATTATCTGTGGCGGGCTTTGCCTTGGCTCTCAGAATCTGTCTGGGGAGAGTGGGGCTGATGCAGCAGGAGGGAGAGAGAGCACCACCTGTTTTGGCTCATGACCTGATGTGACACCGCTCTTGTTTGGAAAGTTGGGTGAAGCGTCGTCTGGAGACGCTTCTTACGAGACTGTGCCAAACCTGCTGAGCTGCGTGTTTACCTGTTTGACTTGTTTTTATCACTTGCTGCTGTAACCCTAAAGATGAGTGAAGGTTTTTCTTTATGTGTGTAGGCCTGTCCTGATAGAAAATTATGCTGGACGATAAATTGTCTCAAAAATATTGTGATTAAATGCTTACAATGCTTATGGATGTCAGGTTTTCATGTGCTGTCAAAGGTGAGTGGTGGAGAACGAACAGACACAGGAGGCAAGTTACAAAAGGGTAAGTGTTCTTTATTTACAGTGGTCTGATTCAGGGTTTCCAGATCTGAAAGAGGAGGGAAGCAGGTAGGTGAGAATCCAGTAGGTAATGTGAGTAAAATTGCGATGAGTATTGAATAGATAAGTAGTGCTTACGATAATCAGGAGGAGGCAGCATCACTGAGGAGAGAGTAAATCCAGAGGTAAGTGTTGTCTTTGTTCCAGGGTGGTACAGCTGGCAGTCCAGAGGATCCATGTGAACCAGGAAGTGATGAGGCAGGTGAGTGGCCATATCGCCCAGCCCTAGAAGAAGCACCACACTGAGGAAAAAACAGGTAAGCAGAAAAAAACAAAAACACAAAATCCTATAATGGAAGTTCATAAATTTACATGCATATGTAAAAAAAAAGTTATGAACTGACCTGGACTGGAGATCGGGAAAACAACACACAACAAACAGCTGCTGAAGCTGTAACGTCGTTTCCCACCTCCTCTATCCAAGACGGCACTATTTATTCTTCATGTGTCTTCCTCTGGCTTCATAAAATTATCATGGTCACCTGCAAGGCATCTTGAGGCATCTCCAACTGAAAGAAGGCGTCAGAAAATCGAAGACGCTCCTCTGGCTAAGTGCCTGTTCACAAGGCTACAGAGGTTAGAGACCATCCCTCTGACAAACACCTGACTCCAGAGTTCGCTCCTCAAGTTCAAGTTCAGGTTTATTTATATAGCGCCTAGTCACAACATACATTGTCTCAGGGCATTGTACGCAAAAAGAATAATCAAAAGAAAAAGCCAGCAGGCTACGTTGAATCACTTCATCATAGTCTCCCATCCTGAGCAAATGGTGGAGAGGAAAAACTCCCTGCTAATCAGGAAGAAACCTCCAGCAGAACCAGGCTCAGGACAGGAGACCATATGCCTCGACCGGCTGGTTGGAGGACAGGAAAGAGACACAGACAAACACAGAAGAACTGGTCCAGGTGGACCTTCTTCTGGAAGGGACAAAGAAAAAACATGATAGAAATAATTACAATAAACATGTCATCTGTGATCAATAAACATCCTCACTGTGGTAATGAGTAGAAAAGAGGGAAACTGGAAGAAAACAAAAAAGCAAACACATGAAAATTATTGACCTCATTTCAACTTGTCGAACAAAAATTATTGCTCATTTCAACAGGCCTGTGTGCGTGCTGCCCTGCTGTCTGTTAGTAAAATATCTTGTGGACAACAGCACAGGTTAGGAAACTCTCAGAACGTAACCACAACCGATTACTTTTTGAGTGTTGTGGTTTTAGAGTGTACCTTTATTTAGTTATTTCACTGACACATGCAGTTTGTCTGCATCAATCAATGTGATTGACCCTCACTGTCACTCTGAGACAGGGGAGGAATTTTCTGTCAGTTAGCCGCGTGTAATGTCATTATTTTGGTAGTGTTTTTAAAAAAAACAAACTCTCGAGTGCTTGTGCTGGTTGTCAGTCACTGTCAGCTCCCCCACAGTGGGGGAGCTGACAACAAAGTTACATAAATTTAGCCAATATTTTTTTAATTTAGCAGAAAGCTGTTATTTGTCACTTGACATCATTGCCTTAATGATGACACTTTGATTGACCTTGTTATCTTTCATTAAAATATTTTTGCCTTTGGTGCAGAATTAGACCAAACGATTGGCTCAGCTTGATTAACATGTGAACAGGAAAAAAAGTGCTCAGAACGTCAGCTGCAGAGAGGTTATGTGAGCAGCTATACTGACTTCAGGTCCGTTTACTTCTGCATGAAAGGCTTTCTCCGGGTGTAGTCTATAGCAATGCAGGGTGTTCTGATCTAAAAATATTGCTTTCAGACCTGCAGCAACATCACTGACGGGGTTCCTCCACAGCCTTTGAAAGAACGAAATTTGCTTTTAGTATTTTCAGGTCTGGTTAAGTATGAGGGAGGAAAATAAAAAATAGAGCATGAAAGAAACATTTGTATTTCCAGACTCAGTTCTGTTTTTCATTTTTTGTAAAGACAAAATTTCTTTTTCAAATTGTTACTCAAGCAAATGTTCTTCACATGTGGAAAAGGTAAACACAGCCATCATGATGTCACATTTCTTTCTTCATCTTTCATGTCCAAATGTCACTGTGTCTTTAATAACTATAACTGACAGCAGACAACGCCGGAAAACCTTGGAGTAAACCAAGCAAAATTTAAAAATAGCTGCTTTATAAATGCAGACCATTTCCTATTTTTACAGATACTCTTCAGGGACAAGTTAGTCACTCTCTGCTGTCTAGTTTATCCAGTTTTAAAGCATGCAGAAAATAAAGCACGGCCGTTATACAGAGATTTACAAAACCTTGAACTTTTAAAGACAGAAACACTTCTTGTTCAGTCTTTTTGTTGTGCACACATAAGAAATTCAAGTTGACAGATAAATATGCTTATCATGGGGTGTTTAAAAGTCTTAATCACAGCAGATATTTAATCTTGTTACAGTGGATACTGGACTAAAATATTTTTAAATGACTGCAGTCAGCAGCAGTTCTACTCAGTGTTTTTCTTTATATACAGCGGGTAAAATAAGGATTGAACACGTCAACTTTTTTCTCAGTAAATATATTACTAGAGGTGCTAATGACATGAAATTTTCACCAGATGTCGGTAACAACCCAAGTGATCCATACATACAAAGAAATCAAACCATAAATGTCCAGAAATGAAGTTATTTGTAATAATGTGGAATGGCACAGGGAAAAAGAATTGAACACGCTTACTGAAATTTATCTAATACTTTGTACAAAAGCCTTTGTTGTCAATGACAGCTTCAAGACGCCTCCTGTATGGAGAAACTAGTGGCATGCATTGCTCAGGTGTGATTTTGGCCCATTCTTCCACACAAACAGTCTTCAGATCTTGAAGTTTCATGGACCTCTTCTATGAACTCTGATCTTTAGTTCTTTCCATAGATTTTCTGTTGGATTCAGGTCAGGTGATTGGCTGGGCCATTCCAGCAGCTTTAGTTTCTTTCTCTGAAACCAACTGAGAGTTTCCTTGGCTTTGTGTTTGGGCTCATTGTCTTGCTGAAATGTCCAGCCACGTTTCATCTTCATCATCCTGGTAGATGGAAGCAGATTTTTATCAAGAATGTCTCTGTACATTTTTCCACTCATCCTTCCTTCAATTATTTGWAGTTTGCCAGTACCATATGCTGAAAAACAGCCCCACACCATGATGTTCCCACCTCCAAACTTCACTGTTGGTATGGTGATTTTGGACTGATGTGCAGTGCCATTTGACCTCCAAACATGATGTGTATTTTGGCATCCAAACAGTTCAATGTTGGTCTCATCTGACCAGACTATATTCTCCCAGTATTACACAGGCTTGTTTAAATGTTGTGCAGCAAACTTTAAAGGAGCTTCAACATGCTGTTTCTTCAGCAGTGGAGTCTTGCGTGGTGAGCGTGCATACAGGCCATGGTGGTTTAGTGCATTACTTATTGTTTTCTTTGAAACAATCGTACCTGCTAATTCCAGGTCTTTCTGAAGCTCTCCACAAGTGGTCCTTGGCTCTTGGACAACTCTTCTGATAATTCTTTTCACTCCTCTGTCAGAAATCTTGTGAGGAGCACCTGGTTGTGGTCGGTTTATGGTGAAATAATGTTCTTTCCACTTCTGAATTATGGCCCCAACAGTGCTCACTGGAACCTTCAGAAGTTTAGACATTCTTCTGTAACCGATGCCATCATTATGCTTTGCAACAATAAGGTTGTGAAGGTCTTGAGAGAGCTCTTTACTTTTTACCCATCATCAGATGGTTCTTGTGTGATACCTGGCCAT